ATCTCCATGTGGTTGGTGCCCAGCTTAGTCCAGGAGGAAGAGATAAATCTAATTTTATTCTATTGTTTGAATTTTGACAAAAATTCAAATACCTATAAAGTCAAACTTTATTTTTAATAGAATTCTAACTGGACAATTTGTCAAACAAGTAAATGAATACCTTGGAGAGCAAGCAACTAATTCCTAGAGGGATTCTCCCATATGCCTGGCGTGTACAATCATGTGTTCCCACGACATGTGTGTTTCAAAATTATTTATCAAATAATCACATTATTTAATATCTAATTATTTCACAATTAATTATATTTTAGTGATATAATTTAGAAGTTCATAACTCTAAATTCCCATAAATTTATCATGGCTAATGGTTATTACAGATGACAGAGGGACCCATGTACCAATAATTTCAAGTTTCAATAAAATTAATAATCAATTAAACTCTTTAAGCAATTAATTAAATTAATCAATTCTAAAAGTTAAACTACTACAAAATTGGAATTGCACTGTTGAAATTGTAGACATTTTATTTACTTCTAATATAATGAATTATCCATTTAATAGTCAATACATATAGATCAATCCTCCATAAATAATTCATGATTAGAGCTAGGTAGAAATCCGTTAACCTCTCTAATTGCATCTTTATCTTTGAGTATTGTTGATTCTCTAATAAATAATAATCTCATGATCATCATCATAAATTGAGCACTCTTACTACTCAAGACCGAATCCGTACTCAAGAGAAATGGATTCCATCTCATATATTAACATTCTTAGCTACTTACTTCATTTTGTTTCCAAGATGCAAGCAATAGGATTTAGCAATCTCGAAATCCATACCGAATAAGTCAAAAGAAACAAATCCATAAATAGTAGTTTGCCAATAACTCATGATTGAGATCATCTTATATATGACTAACATTAGACTCAATTTGACTTTATATACTTAACTGAAATGATAAGAAATTTAAATTGTGTCTTGTCACTACAATAAAAAAGGCCATTTGCGACGACATTTTTTGCGACGACATTTGTCGTCGCAAATAATAAAATATTTACGACGACATGTCATCGCAATTACTCCCCGTTTAAAAAAATAACCATGTCGTCGCTAATAACCTAAATGTCATCGCAAATAATTTTGGAGCGTAAATTTTAATGGCGCGGATTTTTGCCGCCAAGGTAATCTATTTTTTGCGACGACATTTTCCCTTTATTTGCGACGACTTTATTGTCGCAAATAATTTCATGTTATTTGCGATGACTTTTTCTCTTTGTCGTCGCAAATAATCTTTTCAAGATTTCACCAAAAAACTAAACGTGAGAAAAATGATTATTTGCGACGACATTTTCCATTTATTTGCGACGACTTTAAATAATTTTATGTTATTTGCGACGACTTTTTCTCTTTGTCGTCACAAATAATCTTTTCAAGATTTCACCAAAAACCAAGCGCGGGAATTAATGATTATTTATGACGACATTTAAACTTATTTGCGATGATAATGTTGTCGCAAATAAGTCTGATCTAATATACCCTATCTTCTTCCTCTTCATTTTCTCCCGCTGCTTTCTATCTCTCTCCTACTAAGTCTCTCTCTCTACCTCTTCTTTCCCTCGCCGCCGCCGCTGCTTGTCGCCACCGGCCCTCTTCCCTCTCTCTTCCCTTTCTCTCTCTCTCTTCCCTTCTTCTTCTTCTCTCTCTCTCTCTCTTCCCTTCTCTCTCTTTTCTTCCCCTCTCCGGCCGCCGCCCCGCCC